TTTCATAAAAGAATCTAATTAAAGTAGCACAATACCTATTATTATTTGTGGGTAAGGAAGAAATAAACCGCAAGTCCTTGCTGTCGACGAACCGTGAATGGAAACAGAACAATGACTGTACAAAACGTGCCAGCAAAAACTACGTAGGTGTTCGTTTCAAAAACCATCTTCCGACCGTTGGGTTATTGCGTTAAGTATATTTCTTCCTAAAATATTGCTTTTCTGGGAACATTTGCTCATTGCTCTGACAAGATTGAAGTGCGCAAACAATTTGTAAAATGGTAGCAAATAATAACATGAGAGCAAATATTTCTGCTACCATTGACGACTCGAGTTTATTGTTCCAAGTTTTATGAGTGAGGATTCAAGTTAATTTATGTTAGGGACATAGAAATTGAATTAGTGTTTTTTATTTCATACAGCAGATAGATTTTTTCTTCTTTATTCAGACTTATGAACTGAAGAAATAGGCATCTGATATACCAGCTGTATTTTGGTTTTGAAATAACTAAACTGTTGATATGACGATTTCTCCCAAGGCGTCTCATGGTGCCAGAAGCGGACTACAAGATTTTTTTTTCGAAACAGCGTCGTTCTCTACTATATCACTCGAGTCCATAAGCTTTCGAAACTATGAGGCAGTGGAAAAGAAATTCGCAACAGTGTTCGTCGCCACAGCGGCATTCGAAATGACGTAGGGGACCCGAAAAAAATAATTTTATTCAATTGTTTTATTTTTTAAAGAGCAGATAGTTTTTAAATTCATTTCCAACAAGATTCTTAACACATGTGATTTTAATGTTAGGATGTGAGTTTAGTGCAAGGAAAGGCATGTTTTCAATGATATTAAAGAACTATAATATCATTGCATGTTTTATTTGAATTATCATGTATGACGACTGTCGTCAGGCAGCATTTTTACCGTACATCAAAGGTGTAACAGATAAAATTGGAACAGTAATAAGAAAGTTCTCCATAAAGACTGTATATTCTCCGTTAATGCCAAATAGCAAAACAACTACGATCGCCGAAAGATGTTATACCTTTCCAGACTCCGGGAGTATAAAAAATCGATTGCAGCTGTGGTACTGTGGTAGTTCGTATATTGGACAGACGAAGCGCACCATTGCAGAACGTGTCAAAGAACACATCGCAGCTGTTAAAAATCGNAAAGTCTCTTTGGAATTCAATAAATACTTTGTAAGACTTTTAAGACTTCGTTTAGGTCCCTTTTACCACACTGCGCCAGAAGGAGGTTTATGTTTTTGGTTTATTATTTATTCTTGAAGGTCAATAAGGAAATAAGCTGTCTTATTTATATACCTACCACGATGATATCCACAACAGACTTCTTAAATAGATACTTAATAAATATTAAAACACTTATTTAATTTATCATCAATAATGTAGCATTGAATACCTACGTGGAGCGTTGGACTTTTTATAAAAGAATCTAATTAAAGTAGCACAATACCTATTATTATTTGTGGGTAAGGAAGAAATAAACCGCAAGTTCTTGCTGTCGACGAACCGTGAATGGAAACAGAACAATGTCTTTTGTACAAAACGTGAACATCTTGCCAGCAAAAACTACGTAGGTGTTCGTTTCAAAAACCATCTTCCGACCGTTGGGTTATTGCGTTAAGTATATTTCTTCCTAAAATATTGCCTTTCTGGGAACACTTGCTCATTGCTCTGACGAGATTGAAGTGCGCAAACAATTTGTAAAATGGTAGCAAATAATATCATGAGAGCAAATATTTCTGCTACCATTGACGACTCGAGTTTATTGTTCCAAGTTTATGAGTGAGGGTTCAAGTTAATTTATGTTAGGGACATAAAAATTGAAGTGGTGTTTTATTTCATACAGCAGATATATTTTTCTTCTTTATTCAGACTTATGAACTGAAGAAATAGGCATCTGAATACCAGCTGTATTTTGGTTTTAAAATAACTAAACTATTGATATGACGATTTCTCCCAAGGCGTCTCACGGCGCCAGTAGCGGACTACAAGAAAATGTTTTTCAAAACAACGTCGTTCTCAACTATATTACTCGGGTCCATAAGCTTTCGAAACTATGAGGCAGTGGAAAAGAAATTCGCAACTGCGTTCGTCGCCACAGAGGCATTCGAAATTACGTAGAGGACCCGAAAAAATGAATTTTATTCAATTGTTTTATTATTTAAAGAGCAGTCAAATTTATTTTCAACAAGATTCTTAACACATGATGTGATTTTAATATTAGGATGTGAGTTTAGTGCAAGGAAAGGCATGTTTTATTAGAATTATCATGTATGACGACTGCAGCATTTTTACCGTACATCAAAGGTGTAACAGACAACATTGGAACAGTACTAAGAAAGATCTCCATCAAGACTGTATATTCTCCGTTATGCCAAATAGCAAAACAACTACGATCGCCGGAAGATGTTATACCTTTCCAGACTTCGGGAGTAGGTATATAAAATCGATTGCAGCTGTGGTAGTTCGTATACTGGACAGACGAAGCGCACCATTGCCGAACGTGTCAAAGAACACATCGCAGCTGTTAAAAAAAACCTTTTTAAAAAACAAGCTTTATCTAAATGCAGATGTACTAAAACGAAAAAAATAATTGTATGCTTGGTTCAAAGAATTTCGAAAGCTTGTATCGCTCATGGAATTTATTCCTCTTTTTTTCTGTTTGCGCTACAAGCTTTCGAAATTCTTTGAACCAAGCATACAATTATTTTTTTCGTTTTAGTACATCTGCATTTAGATAAAGCTTGTTTTTTAAAAAGGTTTTTTTTATTATAATTTTATTTTACACTTTTTAGTTGTATCTCAATCTCTGGATCATTATTTAGCACCAAAGTGCTCGAGAAGTCGAATCCAACGAACCCAAACTCGATAAGATTCCGCCGTTTCGTTTAGGAGTTCCTATGGCCACCTCCTGACTCCATCATCAGGACCCTGGACATCATCTAGTCACGGCCTGACCCGAGGTCCGAGCCTACCGTGGCGCCCTCAAGCCGCGTCCGTAGTCCCCCTCGATCGGGCCCACTAGAGTGAGCCCGCCGTAGGCTGGACTTTGGTCGCGGTATTGTACCAAAGTCCTCAGTGGGCAACCCTCTAGTTGGGTTCGCCACTGATCGGGCGCCTTATGCGCTCGATACGGCCCGATCGCGAACGTCGGTCTGCGACCGACGCGGACGAGCCAGCCACACTCGGCCTCGTCGGCACGCGCACCGACGATCGCCTTACCTTCTGTACTCGCCATTCTGCCCGGTGAAGCTGGAAAAGCTCTTCAAGCTACCAGCGCGCGTCCCTTAAAAAAATCATCTAGCACTAAAGTGCTTGAAAAGACAAATCCAACGAACCCAAACTCGATGAGTTTCTGCCTTTTCCTTTAGGATTTCCTATGGCCACCTCCCAAATCCATCATCAGGACCCTGGACATCATCTAGCACTAAACTGCTCGCAAAGACAAATCCAACGAACTCAAACTCGATGCGATTCCGCCGTTTTGTTTAGGAGTTCCTATGGCCACCTCCTGACTCCATCATCAGGACCCTGGACATCATCTAGCACTAAACTACTCGAAAAGAAAAATCCAACGAACCCAAACTCGATGAGTTTCTACCGTTTCGTTTAGGAGTACCTATGGCCACCTCCCTAATCCATCATCAGGACCCTGAACATCATCTAGCACTAAACTGCTCGAAAAGACAAATCCAACGAACCCAAACTCGATGCGATTCCGCCGTTTCGTTTAGGAGTTCCTATGGCCACCTCCTGACTCGATCATCAGACCAGCTCAATGGTACCATAACATTGCATTGTCATCGTACTTACATAAGTATACCAAATTTCAGCTCAATCGGTTGAGGAGAAGTGGTCTTAAATTCAGTTGCAAGATTTGTCCCACACATACTAACAAGTGAAGTCAATATAAAGCTTGTAAAAATCGACAGACGAGCAAATCCGCCGTGGCTGAACACCTGCTGGAAACAGGAGTTAATCACTGGATGGAGTTTCACAGTCCAAAAATCCTCTCCACTGATCGGCATTATCACACTAGGATAGTTCGAGAAGCGATTGAAATTAAGAAAAATAAAAATTTCAATCGGGAGGACGGATTTAAATTGTCACCAGTGTGGAATCCGGTGATTAATAAATGCAAACCGCGAATTTTGCCGTCAAGTACGAATACGGATACTGTGAGTGTTGTGTGTCGTGGTAACATCACTAGTGGTAGTGTAACAAATGACAATATGAGGGTAGTTGAAAATCTTCAAGCCCGCCCGAACGGACGATGCCACGAACCGCCAGTCTGCTTGTGACCACGGCTGCAGCATCGCAGCCGAAACGCTTTAGCGTTTCCAGCACTCGTCACTAATTCAGGTACCCCTAATAGCGCATAGTACACCGGGATGGGGTAAAAATTCAGTTCATATTGTTTCGTCAGACTCAATAGTGATACTAAATAATAAGTGCAAACGTTGAAGAAGACAGCTGCGATGCAGAAATCATAAATGTACACAAAATGTAAGTTTATATTGCAATATTTTTATTTTGATTTATTTATAGAATTCATTTGCTAGTAAAAATATTAACTTGAGAAGTGTATTAGTTTCTTTGCTAATCTTATAATATTTTTAAGTGATTTGCATTAGTGGTTCGACTCCCTGATTAACTTTTTGTTGTTCTTAAATAAAGGTATTTCTATTTTTCTCATAAATGTCGTATTTTCTATTATTAATTCTCTAAAATTATTATTTTCAGATTTTTTCCGGTTACGCCACGGAATAAAAAAGACCAAACATTGGCAGACTGGGAAAAAACCATGGAGTGTATTCCAGAAGGGTAAGCTAATTTTATACCTCAATATTTTGTTATTTTCATGAACTCTCAAGTTTTCATAGCATTATTTTTAAAATATACTTAGTTTTTCCTTTGTTTTTGTTTCTTTTATACTTTTAGAACAGAAGTGTAATATATTGTTTGCTTGTCTACAGTATCCACCGCGGCCGGCAAGCCTGTGCGGTGCCGCATGTTCCCGTGGTGTCGCTTCCGCGCCGTGTGTGCGTTCCAACACCCGCCTTGCATGGACCAGGCCGCGTGCGAACGCCGCGGCTGTATGTACGAACACAAGACCCTACCGGCACAATCGGCCCCGCCGGCTCAAGCGCCTTCGCCCATGGACGTCACCTCGTCGATTGACGTGGCCTCGCCCATGGACGTGGCCTAGCCTCAACCGTCCCCGCCGTTGCATGTGCACCGGCGACACCTAAGCCCACCATATAATGCAGTAAGTTCTGTTGGATGTTTAAGGGTTGTATCTACTACCCAACATTGATGAAACAACGCTGGCCGAAACAGCTTGAAAAATTCGACCGGTTCATACAGTGTCTGAGTACCTAGCTCGGATGGAAGAGCAATCGCCCGGCAAACAAAAGGTCGTGGGTGCGATTCCCGTCTGAGGCAGTTCGATTTTTTGAAGTTCAGAACTTGATTTGGAATAAAATGCTAAAAACTGTTTTTATACAGGTTTGGAGGGATCCAGATGCGTGTGGACCGGTTTCGCCACTATCTTACGGCGACGCAGCAGGCGTTGGCGCTTGCAAAAGGATAGTGACGTGCGCCGGCGCCGTGGCCGAAGAAAAGAAATGTACCAAAAGTAATAAAAAATAAGAAAAGTAAATAAAAAAGAAACTCTGAAGCAATGTATTTGATTTCTTCAGATCATCAAGAAGTGTATTAAAATGTTTGCTTGTCTACAGTATCCACCGCGGGCGGCAAGCCGGTGCGGTGCCGCATGTTCCCGTGGTGTCGCTTCCGCGCCGTGTGTGCGTTCCAGCACCCACCATGCAAGTACGAGGCTGCGTGCGAACGCACGGGACCCTGCCGGCACAATCGCCCATGGAGGTGACCTCGTCGATTGACGTGACCTCGCCTCAATCGTCCCCGCCGTTGCACGTATCCCCGCCACCTAAGCCCTCCATAAATGTAAGTAATGCCGTAACCTTTGACATCGTCCATTTTATTCTATTAATTCTAGTATGTGTCCTGTATGGTCGCTTCTTTTTTATCAACATAGTAATTTGTTCCTTATAGAAATTTTCATCCCCCTATTTCATCCCCGTAATGGCTTATTTTTATTAAATAACATTTTTCTTTCTAAATTCTTCCTAGTGATCTCTATTTATGTTTACAAAATAAACTAACGTATCGTTGTTTTCCGCAGCGTCCCTCGTGGTGCCAGCAGCGAGCTCAAGGCGATCGCCGCGCCCTCCACGGGACGTGCAAATTCTACTCTTCGTTCGTCAACTCCAAGTGCAAGTTCTTTCACCCCGACTAGCCCAGTCTTATGCGGTAACCGGCGTAATTCTTAGACTTAAGCATTCCTAATGTATGTACCTGTATTTGTGTAAGGATTTTTTTTAATATAATGAATGATTTTTATGCAGTTGTTTCATTCCTTAAAAAGTGACATATTTTAGGCCTAAAGCTTACAATTTACACATCACACATGACTAGGCTCAACCTACGCAAAAGTTCTTCTCAGAGCTAAACAACAGTTCTTCTCAGAGCTAATCAACAGTTCTTTTCATGGCTAACCAACAGTTCTTTTCAGGGGTAACCAACAGTTCTTTTCAGGGCTAAACAACAGTTCTTTTCAGAGCTAGAATTTTACCCGCTATCAACATTTTCTTAACCCTACAAGGCACCCAGTTCCATTTGTGGAACACCGACTTTAATCGTTCCTATAGCTATTAAACTATTAGTNAAACATTTGAAAATGCCTAAGAGAGCCAGGTCTCAACTTTCTAAACATAGTTGTCAAGCACGGGAAGCAAGAATACGTCGTATGGGAGAATCTTCACCTGAACGTTCCCAACGCCTAGCTGAACAAAATCAGAGAAACTATCAGGTACGCGCACGAGAGTCGAAGCGTCGAACGTTCGCCTCATAAATACAATCTATGCAGCCTGCGGATAATGACTGCGTCGTCGACGTTAGTGTCGGTGTCTGTGAATGGTACTGTCCATCTTCAGTGAGAATAACAAGGACTAATCAACTAAAAGCATGAAATAAATTAATGTTAACAAAAAAATTAAAACCGACTCCAAAAAACCTGCAAAAAGTAGAAAATAATTCCATTATTTATTTATTAGGACAAAATGTAATGTAATGGTATTTTTGTGAGTGTGGGNNTTGTGGGGATTAATCAAACGTGTTTTAATTTGAAGCCAGGTCCTGAAGGACTTAAAAAAAATAAAAAAATTCTGAACGTTAAGCATAATACCTTCGAAGGTCCGGGCGGCGTCGTCGAAAACTATGACGACGACGGCGAGACGCACGCTGGTCCCAAAATGTTGGACCTATTATACAAAATGAACGCCCGCAACGCGGTTGTGGTAGTGACACGATGGTAAGTTCCCCTTTCATCATTTGAGCTCTTAAAAATCCGGTAGACTAGTTAGCAGAGGCTACCCAACATTGATGAAAAAACGCTGGCCGCAACAGCGTATTACAGTTGAAAATTTCGACCGGTTCATACAGTGTCTAAGTACCTAGCTCGGATGGAAGAGCAGTCGCCCGGCAAACAAAAGGTCGTGGGTTCGATTCCCGTCTGAGGCAGTTCGATTTTTTGAAATTCAGAACTTGATTAGAAAAAAAAATGCTTAAAAGATTTTTCTACAGGTTTGGAGGGATCCAGATAGGGGTGGACCGGTTCCGCCCCTATCTTACGGCGACGCAGCAGGCGTTGGCGCTTGCAAAGACAGATGATGTGTGCCGGCGCCGTAACTGACGGAAGAAAATCAAATAAAAATAAAAAACATAAGAAAAAGAAATAAAAAACAAACACTGAAGCAATGTGTTTGATTTCTTTACATCATCACAACACAACCCTTAAATATCTTTACATTATAACATTGTTCTGACTATATAAAGTAAAGCTAAAAACTCGTATCAGAGGCCCAGACACATTCTAAATAATATAGGTACTTATTAGTAAAAGTTCCTGATCGAGTCGATTAAAATGATATTTTATTTAATATTTATTAAGATTATAATCTGACTGTATAGTCAAATCATTGTTTCTGACAAACATAATGATTCGATTCCAAAACTTAAGAGATGTCAAAACCATGATCCGAGGAGATTCTGCAAACTTCATTCAAAACAACATCAACGAAGTTTCAATAGACCGTACAATGGTTTGCCAATTATGTAAGTTTCAATCTTAGAAGATATCGTTTTCATTTGATTTAATTATATTATATTATAACTAGCGGCTGCCCGCGACTTCGTACGCATGGATCCTGTTTTACCCCCTTTTCCCGAATTTTCTTTGCTATAAACCTCACGGAGCCCGAGACCTTTCCAACGAATGCAAAACCGTGGAAATCGGTTCGTGCGTTCTGGAGTTATAGCGTCAGGGAGGAAAACCCGACTTATTTTTAAATAGTAGATAATTATATTATAGGCTGGACCATTGGCCTCATAAAAATAGCAACCATCATCACCATAATATCAGCTATAAGACGTCTACTGCTAAATATAGGCCTCCCCCAACGATTTCCATAATGGCCGATTGGTAGCGACCTGCATAGCTATATTATGTACTAACAGAACTGTTTATGTAAGATGTATATTTACAGAATATGTAGGAGGACTCGTATTTTATCAAAAATATAGCCAGTATGTTGGAGGATGTCAAACACATTTGAGGAAAATAAAAAAGACATTTTATGGATCTACGGGCCGCTGGTAACAGGTTGAGACGTATTTTTCTGCTTCTTGTTTACTTACATAATACAAGAAAATATTTATAAGAGTAACTCCGATTAATTCAACATTTAACATACCCATCTAGGAGTAAAGGTCCGAGAGGCTATTGGAATTTAAAAAAAACCATAAAAATACTAGGTTTTGCCTGCGGCTCCAGCCGCGTGAAATTAAGTTTGTCATAGAAATATCATTATAAATTAACCTTTATACACTATTAAAGAAACTGTAATTTTTTTTAATATCCGTTCAGTACTTAGTTTTTGCGTGAAAAAGTCCATAGTTGGATTGAATTAACTTTTAAGACTATTTTCAATTATTAATCGTCTGAAATACACTATTGAATTATGTACTCGTACAAAATACAAAAGTTTGTATCGAAAAAACTTCGAGTAACAAGTGAGTTAGTGAACAATGGTACCAGAGTCGAATGTAATAAAAGACGAAAAAGAGGGTAGACTAAATTTTACATTAAAACCCACCAACCCGCATTAACGATAATAACTAAATTCAGTTCAAAGATTTTAAAGATAGTTCGTCTGTGATCATGGTGTGTGCAACTGTTTTGAAATATCGAAGCTTCACCTCAAAAGGTTAGTAGAATTATTTGTATTCAATTACACTAATAATAATAAAGCTTAAGTAGGAATATATCCCCCATAATAGAGAATACCAATTTTCCTAACAAAATAGTTGAGTGAAATTGATATCAAGGAATCCAAGGATAATTATCTTATAGAATAAAATATAAGTGGGATAGATTTTTTTTTTACAGTTTATATTATTTGGTTCACTGTCAATTTAATATTTTGTCGGTTTAAATATTTTTTTTATGAAGGTATACCTCCTAATCTAACTCATTTACAAAATTGCCATGATCGGTGTATAAATTACTTCTATTTTAATATTTAGTTAGTAACAACGATAACACTGTAGACAATGTTATCGTTATTTTCATAATTAATTTTACTTTCTCACAATCTATACAACAAAATAATAATAGACCAAGAATTAGGCAACCTCTGCTTAACAATGATCTTTAAAATTCCAGGTAAGTAACGTTTAGAAAACATTTTTTAAACTAATTTGTAAGTATTTCTAAACTTTTAATCCTTTTACCATCATAAAAAAAGTTAAACTTAAGCTAAGTAGTTCCTTTTGAAAACGACGTAACTACTAATTAGCTTAGTTTTTACAGGCTTTTCTTATTGTGGGTAGATGTAATTAAACCCTTACTATGCTAGCAAAAAAAACTTTACAACTACGAGTATTTTTTTAATACATTTCCAAATAAAAAAAAATGATATTATTATTAAAAAATACCTACTGACTACGCCAATCTTGTAGCGGAGTATTGGGCTGACAATGTATAGGTTTTTTGTCGACACGACAAGAATAAAATTTGAAATAGGTATTTCATTGAACATTACTTGTTGAGAATTTTAGATAAACTAT